TTTAAGATTTCTCGTAGATTTCTAACATAGTTTCACTGTGGTCGAGAACATTTTCAGAATTAAACCATCAAGTTAAATGTAACTTTATGTAAGATTTTTGAATGAAGACAAAACAATTGAACAGATTTAACAAAACAAGTAAAATAGATACCACACCGCATGCAACATTTACATTTTTATAATCATTCACGATTTCATATTTAAATTTCCTCCTGCTGCAATGCTTTGTTTCCTTTGTTGTAACTGTTTTAAAATGAAGAATAACCATGCATAAAATGTACAATTAATACAACATCTAGTCAATACATGATACAAGTATTAAATATAATTTAATATTCAAAATGACAAAATCATTTTAGATTCAAAATGTTCGACATAATACACTTTTGACTTAAACAAATGTAGAATTTTGCATTTGACAATCATTGTCAATTCATTTAAACTGGAAATGAATAACAATAATCCATACATGTATACTTATAAATAAATACCTAATAATATATCAAATCTGTACTATAGTCATTGCCCTGCGCCCTGGGGGTATCAATAAAGTTTTCTGATACCGAATAGGACAACGATGACCAAATGACCAAGGCGGCAACGCTGCGTTGAAGTTCAGAACATCAACAAACATTCCTGAGAGCGAGTCGAACGAGTCGAACGACAAGAGGCAGACGCCCGCTTTTTCCCCAAGCCAGCAAAATGTCCCCAGTTTCCGTGTGAGGTCTTACGAGAATGGCGCACACTCCTCCGATCACAAAACACGCGATGAACCCTTTCACGCGCGTCCCCCAGCCCAGCGTGGATGCCTCGTTCACACTCTGCAACACACAATCGAGTCCATTCACCATCAAATCAATGGCGACCACAAACGAAGCCGCTTTGGTTTTACCTCCAAAATCGTCCGATCTTCTCTGCGCGACTCCTCGCCGCTTAAAACCGACTTGAGTTTATCCATAACCGAGATTTCGTTGGAGTTGCTTTTTGAAAATGCGGAGGAAAAAAAAGGTTGGGAGTATTTCTTTCCCCCCACCGTGCAGCCAGACGTGACCTACCTGAGCGGCTGGATGACGTCACCACCCGCTCACCTGAGACAGTCAGAGAAGTCGCCTCACTCTTGACGAGGAAGCGTGCCGTTGACGTTGCCATGGGAACCAGAAGCCTGACTCAGCATTTTCAATTGAAATGACTGAGCGGGCACGTGCGTAAGGCATAGTTGGGAGCAGGTGCTCAAGTATTTCTGTATTTCTTCATATAGTTTTAAAAATATATGTAAAGAGCTTTTAAAATAATATATAGACTTTTAAAAAGCCTCAACTAATGAAACAAAGACTACATTTAGTCCACGGGCACATTTATACATAATGTATTTTTATTAGTTTTCTACAATAAGCAACAAACATCGAGAGACTGCGGTTAAAGTGCATGTCACCGTTAAATACAGTACATACTGTCATTTTTTTTTTAAACACTTTTGTCAGGAACATAAATAGAAGCGTGTTGCTTGCTCATGACCAAATATGACATGGAAATGCTCAAGTGTCACGACACGAACTAAAAGTATAAAATACAAACAGTTTGGCAACGGAGGGCACCACCCTCCTAATACTTTCGTATAGCAAGAGCAATATTATATAAATATAAAACTAGCTACTGTAGTAATGGGCCCTGAGAGTACAAGCTACGAAAGGCAGTGAGAGCAGGTGGTACACAAAAGCAGTCATTATTCTAGTCGGCATCTCAAACGTCCTTTCCCTGATTTTAAATGAGTAGCACCACAGTGGCGGGGGGGTCGGGGTCACACCACCTCATCCTCAGACTCGGGGTCTTTGTCACTCCGCTTCAGAAGGCCCATTTCCACCGGGGGGGTCTTCTTTAGTCGGGTGCGAACGGCGCTAGGAATAGATTACAAAAAACAAAACAAAAGCATGTCAGCTGTCCTGTAATTCATATCCTTATTGTTGTCATTTATTAAGAGTCCACACAATAAGTAATTTTATTCGTTCTATATTTTTATAATGAACCGGCCAATAAATCAGTCATCAGAATTTTATTTGGACAATTATCGGGCTCGGCCAAATAAAATCGGGCTGTCTTTCGAACACTGGTTTGTTCATTGACCTCGTTACAAACAGCGGTGCCAGGCGTTATCCTCACCAGCTGACCAAGCAGTAGAGCACGCCTACGCCGAGCATGGCGAAGGCAAGGTGCCACGAGTAGCACATGGTGATGAACATCATGTTGTTGTGGTCCTTGGGGTCCCACTGGGCACCACTGGGAGGGTACAGCACGTAGCCGATCTGAGATGCAAGCACGAGAGAGAAAAGTCGGGTGGTTGCTTAGTGACGCGGTACACATGCAACTCTGCTACGCCTACAAGCTCTGAAAAAAAAAAAGACGCCTCCACTACAAATTGGCATGCTACTAGCAGCTAGTAGCTATTAGCTGCTATCGGGCTCGTGGACCGGCGGACAGGTGTTACGTCCGTCCAATACGATTTATGTCCCACGTGTAGATCCACACAATTGTGACACCTAAGGGAAAGTTCACTGATTTTATGTTGGCGAGCTCGCAAGCTAACACGCTAGCGAGCTCCCTGGCCCGCGGCGGGGTTGTCCAGGCGTTGCTCCGTAAAATAACACTTAAGGAAGGAAAAGTCGATTTAAATTTGCCAGGCTTGTTAAGAATACTCTTCATTTGTGTTGTGTCAAAATGACAAGGTATGCAAATCCTCACCTGCCAGAACCAGCTACCCTGCAGCAGCGTCAGAGTGCAGCGTAACAGCTCCAGTAGGATGTTGCCTCTGTAGAAAAGCTCCAGGAAGGCCACCACGGCCCCGCCGAAGACAGCGTAGAGCAGCAGCATGTGCAAGTGCACGTCCAGCATGGTCCGGCCGTGGAGGTGGTAGAGAAAGAGGAACCCTATAAGAACAACAGCTCATTTTTCGGTGTGCCCCGACGTGCTCTGTGGAGCCGTTTTCCTTGAGTTGCAGCTAATTTCCGTGCTGGAAGAATGCCATTGCTCAGTGCTCTTTGCTGTGTTTTTATTGCGCATGTGACGAATGAACCTCTCGAATCTTAAATGTCTAACCTTCGTTAAAGAAGGCGATAGCCATCATCATCCTGTCGAGGGCGAGGGGCGCGGCCTCGGTCGTGTGCACTATCAAGGAGACGCATCCTGCCAGGCCGAAGAAGAGATACATGGTGGCGTGTTGCCAGTTCATCAGGTCTTTCCATTGGTTCTCTGCAGAGTCATACAGCCTGAGTTTTGGCCCGTCAGCTAAGAACTGCTCTGCTAGCATCCCTGGAAGACAAAAAATAATAATAATAATAATAATAATAATAAAACAATGCTCAATCACAGAATGGATGCGGCGGAATGTAACCAGCTTGCGCTCACCCACGAAGGAGAAGAAAAGGACGAGCGAGCTTTCGACGATCTCCAGGCGGCGTTGCGCCGCTCTGCTGCTCAGCCGGGTAGAACCGATGTTCTTGTTTCGACGGGCGGCGTGCCACAGCGAGTACTTGGCCGTCCACCAGAGGCCGCCCAGTAGGAAGAAGCTCCCGGGAAGGGCATGGCCCTTGAAGCTCCCCATGACGGAGACCCCTGGATTGGAGAACATTTCAAATCAGTCGGCGGTGAACCCGCATTTATCGCGGGGGATTTGTTCCAGACTCACCTATATTAGGTGAACACTGGTGAGAAAAAAAGTGGCGTAGGAAATATTTACTTTAATTGTGTCTTGTACTACTGCTCTAGCATAGGTGGGTGCTAGGTGAAAAAGACAGCAAGAATTTACTGGAAAAAAAAAATGTAGGTGATGACAGTGGACCCCCCCCCCTCCCCCCCACCCATCCACCATAAGTCAATTTCAATGGCTATCAATTATATCCAGATTTTGTGCGTGAATATTAATTTTTAAAGGAATATCACTCCCGGAAGGCAATGCTAATTTTCCATTAGCATAACAGTGTTATTTTACATTGACTTCAGCATTAGAACCGCTGAAAGAATGCTTTTAAAACAGAGCATTTAAACATGAAATGTGTGCATTTGTTTTGGTTTAGTTTAGTTTTACATTAAACTTCAAATTGGGTGTCATTAAACCTCTTCAGGGAAGGCAGAATCACAAACACATCACACACTTTCTGCACAAGCATCACGGTGCATTTAGGGTACTTTTGAACAGCTCATAAAATACTTTGTGTCATGTCGTGGGGTGTTTGAGTAGGAAAATGTATGGCTGCAAATGAGTGGCACACTGTAATGACACATAATGAATGCAGTTTTGTGAGTATGTGTGCACAGGCAGGCTTGCTGTGCCACAGACGTCATCCGCCTCAGGTGGAGCTTTAAGCCTGGCTTTTCAAAATTCATTTTGTAACAACCTGCTTGATTTGATTTCATAAATACTCCGGTGGGCGTCACTGTTGCGGGATGGCGATCAAACGGTCGGTCACCTTTTGAAAAAGAGGACACTCAAACAAGAGTGTTCCTGGGCGAGACCACTCCAGGATGAGGATAACAACACCCTCACCATGGCAACCGCTCTAATTCAGTGCAGGGGGTGTGGGTTAGAAAAAAATATATACTGTTTGGGATTTGGGGTTCATTGTGAAAATGTAAATAGAACCACGTAATCCGCAAATGGTGTACAAAAACACTGAAATAAATGTAACTAAGATTAGGTTGCCAAATGAAACGTCAAAATTAAGGGCCTAACAATTCATCGGCTGGCAGATTTACTCCGACACTATTAGGCGATTTTTTGGTCTAAATTTTTTATCACACTCCGACATAAGACAAAGATACAGTCAAGCATTCCCTCCAAGACATTAGCATTAAAATGGGCTCCTTTTCACCCAGATACTCACGTGTAGTCTCACCAAAGTCACACACCACCCAACCAAACCCCGCCCATTAGAGGTACATGCATATACACAAACAGTATAATACGTATCGATTTTATAAATAGATTTTATGCTTGCAATTTGTTTGTTTCTTAAGTTCAAATTCATTTAGAAAATATTTTAAAAGGTTTTAGCAGGTTTTAGTGCATATTACTAAGTTTTAATATTTTTTGTGTGTGGGGAGTGTAAAACATTTTAAGATGTTTTTCATGTGGTCTCTATTATGTGGATAAGATCCTCATATCTTGTAGAAAATGGATCCATAGAGTTCCTGAAATAGCCTCACAACGCTTTACATGAAAATACCAGACAACTCTCTTATTTTCACTCATACTGTCATTTCAATGAAAAAACAAACAATGAAATCATTTCATTGTTTGTTTTTTTCATGTTAAATAAGTACGGCAAGTGAATGCATCTTCATCAGTAGTTAAACTTTTTAAATTTATGGTATTTAGTAGAAAATTATGAAAGAAAATTAAGATTAAATGGCAATTTTATCAAAAATGTTCTGTATTACATAAAATGATTAAAATATGCAAGGTATGTCGTCTTTTTTCGGAAGAATTTTCTCAAAAACAAAGTATTCATCACTTACAAGGTGAACTTGACGGCGCAAAGTTGGAGAAAAATGTTTTATAGGATACAGTTTATTTCAATAAGTAAGCATAAAGAATATCTTTTCGAGCAATAAGACCGACATCCTAAATAGTGGAAAAACGAAGGGGAGGTGTGGGTGGTCTTACCCAAAGCGGCTTTGTCTCTGGAAATGTCAAAAAGAAAAAGTTAGTTAAGATAAAAATTAAAAGATCTTGAATTTTCCATCATTTGACACAATTTCTTCATCGAAGCAAACACCAACTTTCTCCTCAAATTCTTCGTCTCCTACGAACCATTTCGCATCTTCGCCCACAAACCCCCCCCCCCAAGTGTTTTCATTGGTTGGCAGAGGTCAGCTGACGTCACCTTCACGAGCTCCCATTGACCAAACCGCATGTCAATCTCGGGTTTCCACGTGTGCACATTCACTGCGCTTGCCTAACAAAAAGAAAAAAAAAGAATCCACAACTTTCCGTCCTGCAGAGTTGAACCGAGCAGATACGAGGACCGCAGCACGTACACAGCAGCCGGGGAGTCCTCGGCCCACCTCGGTACCTCCCCTCTTCCGTTTCATTCCCAAATGAGGCATTAGTTTGACGAACAGCTTGTAGTCTACGAATGGGGCGAGAGAGTACACAAAAATACGAGGGGCTCCTGAAGGGGGACACCTGTTCAGGAAACGAATGGAGGAAACATTGACAAAATGAATAAGGCGATCATTTGGAATGAAACCGCGTTTATTTTCAAAAATATCAACTCAATGATATCTATAACAAGAATACACAGAAGCTATTATTTAAAAAATAATATACTAATAATTGTCCCTTCTGGGCTGTGTTGGGAATTATTCACTCATTTAATTTTAATTTTTATATAGTGGTCTATATATTCAATTAAATGGCCATCGCTATGTTAGTATTATATTTCTGTTTTGATGTAGCCATTTTGAGACATTGAAAGATCCCGTTAGAGTCAAACTATTTCTTTTGATTCAATTTTAACTAATCACTTTCACAAAGCAAAAACACAAACATTGAATAAGGGTTGAAAAACATGGGAGCATACATTTGTACACACAATTTACAAGCAAAACATTTCATTACAGTGAAAATGAACTGTGAAAATATACACAGTGGCGGGCAATCATGGTTTAAATTCTAATATTTGTTACATGAAGGTGTACACACACAGTCACCATTTCAATTTTTCCTTTTTGTTTTTTTTGTCCAATCACATTTCAGCGTCTATCTGTTGCCAAGTCAATCAAATTTGCCAACCTGACGTCAGCATTTTTCCAACTAGCCAAACACACCTGTAGCAATCAGTACTAATCAATAGATTTAATAATCAGTATCTATGGTGGGGATGATGTCTGTTTTGTCTGTTTTGTCATCGTTAAATATTGATTGAAAACAACTCCATGCAGATGATGAGTTGCGTGCGTTTTGGACGCTTCTCTATAATTACGACGTGATAGACCTGCCACTGAAAAAGGTAAAAGTTTAGCGGTGCCTGCGCAGGGAAAGCTGCCGTCGGAACGTGTACTGTTGCTGCTGTTGTTTTTCCGCGGTAATGCCGCCGACCTCATCCGCCGACCTTCTCCTGTCGCTTAGGAGTCTCGTGGCCAAGCAGGCCGCCGGCGCCGCCGTCTCGCTGCAGCCGCGTGAGCCACACGGCTCAGACCTGCAAGCAGCCTTCCGTCCCAAAGCAGACTTGTGAGTGGGATGGTTTTCATAGCGGGTGACATCACGCACGGCATGCAATGCTCATATTCTCGAAGGGAATGCATGGCAAGAGCCGTGACGTGGAACCAACCCTCCATTTGCAATATCTACTCAAGACGAAATACAGTATATGGTAGCTTTGCAACGATAATAATGATAATTATACATCTTATATCTTATCCAGTTTGGAAAAGGGCTTTTGGATCAGGGTTTCAGGCCAAAGTTAGGGTTTTAACAAGGTCAATAATAATGATGATGTTTAAAACGGGGGTCAGGGTTTTAAATCGCCGTATCAAGAAGAGGATAGGGTTAATTTACCTCCTTGTGGAATGTGTGTGCACAGTGCAGCTTTTGAAGGACACCGCCACTTTTGTACACGTTGTCATGGCACAACGGGCACAACTTGGCGTCATCGTTCTGAATAACAAAACACATGAAGAAAAGCAGGCACATGAAAATGCTGCGTTGTGTGCCTCCTATTTGAAAGCCTCGAGACCCCAATGGGAGACCCAAACCCAGATGTGAAACTTGAGATTGAAATCCTCACCCAGGCGTGAAACCCTTACTTGAAACAATAATTTAGAGCCATGAGTGTGTCTTGAAACCGTACTTTGGAACCTTAACCCTGACTTGAAGTTCTTGGAGCCCTATTTTCAAAACCTTAACTTTGTCTTGAAACAGTATTTTAAAACCCTAACCCTGGCTCAAACCCAAATCCTAGACTAGTCTTAAAACCCTGACTTGAAACCCACATTGAAAACCCTATCTCTGTCTTAAAATAAAACTTTTGAAACCCTAACACAACTCAATCCCTATTTCAAAAACCATAACAAGGATTCGGTTGACAAAATTAGGGTTTCAAACAAATAAGGTCCTCAGATTGCGATTTCAAGACAGGGTCAAATGAGGATGAAGTTTCCAAGTCTGGGTTAAGGTTTCAAGGAGGTCTTTCAAGGTTTGAAGTACAACTCACCGGAGACAGGGTGCATCTATCTTGAAGATAAAGTCTCCTTTGGAAGGATTCTGTCAGTTCCGGGATGGTGCCGATGCGGTTCTCCGCAACGGCCGACTTGGAGCGTCCGTTCTCGTCCGAGGAGGTCCGTCGAGCCCTCTGGTGGGGTCCGACCTCCCCTTTCTCTTCTCGGCTCTTGGCGTGGCTCGGCGCGGGCGCCACGGCGGCCGCGTGCAACCGGTTCAGCTTCATGGCGTCAAGTTGGGACTGCGAAGAAGGATTGTCGTCATTTTATCGACCATTTCATTTCGTTTGGCTGTGTGCGGTTGCTTCTCTCCAATTCCAGTTTGATTGTGTCGAGTGTATGTCAAAAATAAGATGTTGCAATTGCTAACTTGCTTTAAAAAGGGAGACCGAATCGCTGTAGGTTCCTGCCCGTCGATGGTGGATGTAAATCGCTACGAGTTTAGATTGAGTGAATGCCGAGCTGAGTGCTCTCAAATTCACCGTCAAAAGGACACACGCATGTGCCAATAATCCCGGCAACAGAAACGTCAATTGATGACCCGGATCCATTAATTCTCATGCTCGCCGTGTCTGGCACACGCATCTGGATTTAGAGACACTTTGTGTAATATTTTCCACGATAGCTTGAAATACGAGAAGCTTGTTCTGGCTCAGTACAGCTACAGTGATCCCTCACTTATCGCGGTTAATGGGGACCGAGACCTCCCGCGAAAGAGGAAAATCCGCGCTAAGTGAACCGCGAAGTAGCGAGGGATCACTGTAATCCTTCCGAAGAATGAAAATGACTGATCATTGACATAACAGCAATAATCTGATCTGAACATTTTAATGAAAGTCAATGTGAAAATGATCTTACAACTCAAATTTATTTCGGGTTTCAAACAAAATGGAGGATTCAAAGCAGGGCTTTGAGTCTATAGGGTTAGGAGATCAAATTAGGGTTTTGCACCTGGTTTGGGGGTTCAAACTAGGTGTCAATTGTCAAAGTAAGGTTTCAAGGACGGGTTTGAGGTTAAGTTTATAAAACGGTTTAGGGATGCACCCTGGGCATGGGGCGCATGCATGCATAAACCAACGTGTCATTCTTACTACAGTGGGAAGGGACGCCCGTCTGTCAACTCTCGTCCTGGTGGGTCTCCTAAAACTTCGCTTCCTTTCACGTGAGTATCCACCGCCACCTCCTGATCCTCCACCACATCGTTCGGCTCCGTGTCCCCAGTAGCTGCTCATCCACTTGGTGAAGTTGCCGTCGTCGTCCTCGTCGTCCATGATGATGGCAGGCAGGAGCCTCAGCGACATGACGGCTCACAACGGCGGGATGCTGTAACACTGAAATGCTGACTGACCGAGCGCCTGACTTACTGACTGACTCTGCACCTGACTGACTGACTATTCCCGGGCCATCCTGAAATAACCCACCGCGAAACCACTTTTAATCTATTTACCGCGGCTGGAGAAGAGTTTTTCACTCTGGAGAGAGACTGAGGACGAGAGTGTTTGTTTTTGCAACCCTTTCCATTCCGTTCCAGTCCGCAAGTCCCCCGGGGCACCTCCACACTGTGCCCATACTTTCCATGAGTGCATCAAACATGTCAATAATTATGGAGTGCTCCGTGGTCCTGGTATGTAGGACAACAAAACATCAGCTCATAACACTTCAGTTGTGTGTTCACGTGTTGCCAAATTCCCTGAAGTTTTCATTTCATTTGTTTAGTTAAAATAAATAAATAAATAAACTTTCCATGGACATTAACATTTATTAAAGGAATTTAATAAGATTTTGTGTTAACTAATAGGAATAGGGTGGACTACCGCTATTGTGGAGGATAGAGACCCAGTTGGCTAGCAAATAGCAAAACTCAGCATATAATTGACACGCCCTCACGAAATACTTTTTTTTTTCTAAACCTAAAGAATTATTGGAAAAAAAGGGAGAAACTTCCAGTCAGCGTTTTCCACAAAAAAGGGCATTGGCGCCCACATTAAAACAAACAAACAAACATAAAAAAGTCTCGAACAGTAGCTGTGAAACTCTTCATGTATCTGCATGAATTTATTATACTGCCCCCCGGTGGCCAAGTAGTACGCACTAGAAGTAGCAACACAATGTCCATTGTCATGAAGCAAAAAAATAAAAAATAAATGCGACCAAAAGAGTTTCTTTTTTACAAGTACTGTACCGTTGATTTGACACTATCAAATATTAGAGGAGTGCTCATAATGTGTATGTCCAACAGACCTGACTAAAAGAGTGAATGGGGGTGCATGTGATTCGTTGCCCACCCCCCAACATGCAATATGCTCGCTTCTTTCAACCCAAAGAGCATCAGAATGTTTTTGTTGTTTGTTTGTTTCACAGTATGTTTTTGTGTGTGTGTGTGTGTGTGTGTGTGTGTGTGTGTGTGTGTGTGTGTGTGTGTGTGTGTGTGTGTGTGTGTGTGTGTGTGTGTTTGAGTCTATGCCAACTATGCTGTGTCCCATTTGGATGCTGGGCCCCGCTATGTCTGGACTCCACTCAATGTTTTTTTGCCAACGGCCATTTGTCCTCGCCCCGTGTGCCTGACGTTTGCAAGTCATCAAAGTCAACTACAGTCAACCCCATCAGGCTTCAACACTGTAATGATGAGGTGTTTGAGGAAAAAAAATTACATTGCAATATTTAGGAGATGAGGATAAGCTTAAGTAGGCTGTAATATTCTTCGAAGAAGGAAAAGCAACTATGCAGCAAAAGCAAAGCGCAAAGAATTAAAATGAACACAAGAGTGCTTCAAATAACTTTGAGGAATGCCTACCATTTAACCAGAGTTTTAGCAACTCAAGTTTGTCCTCTTGTTGTAAAGGCGAGGAATTGAGGACACCGGGTTACATCACCGACCGTGTCTTCAGGTGCTTTTGAAGATGTACAATATTCTAGAACAAATCGGTTAGTTCTTTTCATTTTTACAGAAAACTTGTATCAAAATGTAAACATTTGTCGTTGTTTTCATGATTCAACTTTTAACTAAAGGGATATGCAGCGTATAATGTCATTCGTATCTCTACACGTTTTTATCTTAAAACACCTTCACACTTTATCTGACACAACAACCGACAAAACACAAAAAGAAGCTCTGAGATTGGCTTGAACTCTTGAAAGCAAGTTGGGACTACAAATGAGAGTATTACGTAAAAAAAACTACAGCTCCCGTCAACCCCTATTCCCATGATTCCTTGCGTTGTGCGCATCACGTGAAGAAGAAGGCGACAGGCGCAGAGCTGCTAACTAGCTAGCCCGCCAGCGGAACTTAGGGTGGTCATCATGGCTGCCTCCAAGCCAGTCGAGCCGCAGTCTGGCACCGGCCTCCCTCGTTGGCAGCTGGCTTTGCTTGTCGGCGCTCCCATCGTGCTCGGGGTGGGGGCCGTGTACCTATGGAACCGTAGCAGGGCGAAGGGGCGGCCGGGGAAAGGCAGCGGCGAGCGGATCACACCAGAAGGCAGCGCCAGTCCGGAGCAGGGCCAAGACAGCGCCTCGCGATCCAACCAAGGGCAGGACAACATGGTACCGATCGGCGAATTAACCAAGCGGCGTTTTCATTTTGCACCACCGCGAGGGTTGAAGCGCGCTGGCGGCCTTGCGGGTGGCTTCTCTGGCAGCGCGTGTGTGAATGCCGCGGAGGTGACGCGGACCAAGGGCACCTGTCAGTGACAGCTACCCTGCGGCGAGTGAGGCCACGCGCACTCTTGTTTGATCCACTTGATAAAAACCAATGTGTGCTAATGCTACAAGCTAACTAAGCTATAAACTTGCCTTGGCTGCTAAATAGTAGCGATCCTAACGTCGGGGTTCATCGGAACCTAGTTTTAACAAATTAAAAATCTTTTATCCTCATTTTACTCATAAGAATTATAATTATATTTATAAAATAAGGAATTGAAGTTTAGTGTTTCCATAACTATTACAGGTTAGTTACATTATTCGTTTGACCTTTGATCTCCATTTTAAGAGCTCTGTACTCGTCCTCACTACAGAAGGAGTGTAACTTTGGGCATTCTCGGACAACTGCTTGATGCAAGTAATGCAAAACGGTGCTCTTGTTGTCTGCTGCGTGTGACTCGCACTACGAGTAATCGGGATGCACCGACACCACTAATTATCAGGATTGAAAAGCGTTGCACAAATACCATGTCTTACTTGACCAAGCAGTGTATCTGTGAAGTCTGGATTTGGTCAGCTTTTTGAGTTAATACATAAACGATTTTAACAATCTGAGTTAATTTCTGTTTGTCATTGTTTTCTGGTTAAACAGTGAACCCCTGCTATTTTCAAGGGGATAAGAACCAAGGCCTCTTGCAAATACCGAAAGTCCGCGACTAATTGCCCCTTCCCCGAAAATGTGTTTTAATTTATTAAATTGCGGCCCATTATTCCAACTGTTGCTCCTCATGAGGGTTGCCTGTTTGTTGGTGCCCATCCCGGGTGTCTTCGGGCAGTTGGTGGGTAACACATTGAACTTGTTGCTAGCCAATTGCCGGGCACACATGGACAAACAACCATTCACACTTAGAATCGCACCGAGGAACAATTTCGAGTGTCCCATTAACCTACCATGCATGTTTTTGGAATGTGGGAGGAAACCCAAGTTACATCAATTATCCAGACACAAACAAAAACCCTCTTAATGAGTTCAACCGAACAACTCAAAAATTCCACTACATTGCACCAAAGTAATACTGTACATTTATTGCATTGGCCTGAACACAAAAACGGTGAATAAACAAGATTTTCAGTAAACGAGATGATAGGTTTTCGCGCAAAAAAAAAAAAAAAAAAGTCAATCCTGAACCGCGACTATTACAGGGGTTCAGTACACTGCGGCTGTTCTGCCAAACTAAAATGTCACTTGTACTTTTTTGTTTTTCTTCTTAAGTCTCCTTTGGATCGGGCCCAGGCGGCAAAGAACAAAGGCAACAAATACTTCAAAGCGGCCAAGTTCGACAATGCCATCCAGTGTTACACCGAGGCTATTGCGCTCTGCCCCACCGAGCAAAAGAGCGACTTGTCAACATTCTACCAGAACCGAGCGGCGGCCTATGAGCACCAGGTTGGCGCCACATTCAGCTAAACTAGCAAGGAGTGCTTTAGTCTGTCTCTGCTGCCTTTGGAGACGAGGTATGAGCCGATAGTAGATTCTGACGGTATAAAAATTGCAGCCCTAAAATGTATATGTATTTTTAATATTTGCGGAAACAAAAACACATTGTTTTATTTTGAAACAAATGTCACAGTGTTACTGGCGAGTTAAAGACCCATGGGCTACTCATGTTGTCCCTGGGGCTAACTAGTACATGCTGGCACCTTTGTTTCTTCATTTCACGAGTTTGCACAAACAAAGTTTGTTTGATCAAATATAGGCTAGCGTTTTTTTTCCCATTAATCTAATGGGGAATTAACTTAATACTGTCAGAATCCAATATCGGCACATGCCTGGGTGACACCATCAAAACAAAATGCCAAAAATATTTGAGGCATATATCTTGACCCCTCGTTTGCTTTTTCCCCACAGATGAAATGGACCGAGGTGGTTCAGGACTGCTCGCAGGCCGTGAAGCTCAACCCGCGCTATGTCAAGGCTCTTTTCAGGAGGGCAAAAGCTCTGGAGAAGCTGGACAACAAGAAGGAATGCCTGGAAGGTGAGGAGGAACCGGCTACATTTCGCCAGTGGAGTGTTTGCCCGTGACCGCGCGGAGCATCGTTCAGGCCGTCATTATGTTGCTCATCTTTAATACTCCTTTCGCGCTGATTCTTAAGTTTAGTATTTACTGTAAAAAATGTTCTCTGACAGTGAAACGGGGCTACCGCCGTCTGTAAAATGGATGACGGTGTGACATTCATGTTGGTTGTTGGGCATTACTTCTATCAGATGTCACCGCAGTGTGTATCTTGGAGGCCTTCCAGAACCAGCAGAGCATGCTGCTGGCAGACAAGGTGCTCAAGCAACTGGGGAAGGAGAAAGCCAAAGACAAATACAAAGTATGTACCTTACCACATTTCACAGAAATTCCTTCATTGCCAAGGACTTCGAATTGTTCTAATTTCAAAAACGCGTAACATTGGAACTTGTTAAATGACTTCATTTGTTCCATGCTCAAACTGTAGGCATCCTCAAACCTTTTAATGGTGCTGGTGATGCATACAACTATAACGAGTTGTCAGCAATGGTTATGCAAAACTAGGTTAGAATCCGAGGCTCATGGAGTCCGGACCAAAAAAAAAAAAAAAATAGCAAGATGATTCTAAAGAACTGCCATCAAAAAAGGAAAATGAACTGTGAATATTTACCCTGATAATTGAAATGTAAAGGAAACATTGGAAATAAAGAAAATCCAGTTAGAAATGTTTTTAATGTTCCATTTAAAGCCTAAAAAAAAGTTTTTCTAATTCAATTTCAGAATTGATATGAAGGCCAGACAAAGGCAATGGAGCCCAAGCAGAAAGTGTGAACAGGGAGAAATACTGACACCTAGTGGCTGGAAATGAGCTCGTCCTGCAAAGGGAACTTAACCATTTTGCTCCTGTTCTAGAACCGCGAGCCGATGATGCCTTCGCCCCAGTTTATCAAGTCATACTTTGGCTCCTTCACCGATGACATCATCTCGCAGCCGCTGCAGAAGGGCGAGAAGAAGGACGAGGACAAGGACAAGGAGGGCGAAGCCTCAGAGGTCGCGGCCAGGTATGAGGGAAGATGATTTGCTCTTTCTTGAGGGGATGGCAACAGCTTCACCAAGTGATCTCATTGCCCCCCCCCCCCCCCAAAAAGATCATATTTGGCCTGATTCCCCACTTATGTGTACTACACGACCAACCAATCTGCTCCAATTCCTCAGCGCGGGCTACCTGAAGGCCAAACACTTCATGGAAGAGGAGAACTACGACAAGATAATCAGCGAGTGCACCAAGGAGGTGGACTCGGAGGGCCGCTATACGGCAGAGGCGCTGCTGTTGCGTGCCACCTTCTACCTGCTGATCGGCAACGCCACCGCCGCTCAGCCTGACTTGGACCGCGTCATCAACATGCAGGAGGCCAATGTCAAGGTGCGTCTGCTATTAGCATTGCTAAATGGAGTGTGCAACACTAAAGATCTGATAATAATTTTGATTTTTGTGTCGTTTTCGGAATACCTAATTGAGGACCATAGCACGCCCTGCGTTCTTGGAAGCAACATGGCATATTTTATTGGAAATGCTTCCGGGCTCATCTGCGTGCATGTTAGTTATTTATTTTTTATTTTTTGTCCGCAGCTGCGAGCCAACGCTCTCATCAAGCGCGGGAGCATGTACATGCAGCAGCAGCAACCCATGCTCTCCACGCAGGACTTCAACATGGCGGCAGAAATCGACACTCGCAACCCCGACGTGTACCACCACAGGGGGCAGGTACGAGTCAGGTGGACGGCGACGCTGTGACACGTCCTATCGGCATCGCTTTTATGTCGTCCATATCCAGCTGAAGGTCTTCGTCGCCATAAAAAAAAGTGACGTTGGATTATTTGTGGCCATTTTGTTCAGCTGAAGATCCTGCTGGACCAGGTGGACGAAGCCGTGGGGGACTTTGACGAGTGCATCCTACTCCGGCCCGACTCTGCTCTCGCCCAGGCGCAGAAATGCTTTGCTCTGGTGAGTTTTGATGAGTGTCTGTCATGCATTTGGATGAATGGCTTTACACTTCCCCCCACCCCCCACCGTGTCTTCCAGTACAGACAAGCGTACACCGGCAACAACCCATCACAAGTCCAGATCGCCATGGATGGCTTCGAGGACGTGATCAGAAGGTTCCCCAAGTGTGCGGAGGGCTACGCGCTATACGCTCAGGTAAGACCTCGGATTTATTGTCAGCCTGACTTCCAAAACGTGAACGTTTCCATGCCTCCTTCTTAGGCTCTGACCGATCAGCAGCAGTTTGGAAAAGCCGACGAGATGTATGACAAGTGTATCGAACTGGAACCAGACAATGCCACTACGTATGTCCACAAAGGGTAAGAAAATGACACCGCTGAGGATTTAAATAAGCTTTGAGCCTTTTTCTCTCACGCTGTAGTTGCGATGAATTGTGTTACGTGTCAGTCAAAAAAAACATGATGTGACGTTGGTTGCTCTCATTTCAAAATGACCCATCAACAAAACAATCCTGAATCTCGATATTCTTTCAAGACATAGATTTTGTGAAGACTCTCTTCTCCCACAAAAGTTAGAAAAATTTGCAAATAAAGCTTCAGTCGCCAACTAATTCAATGCGCTGAGGAATCTCAATTGTGAAATGATTTCAGCAAGGCTCCACAAAGGGTGTGTGAAGTGTGCTATAAATCTTAATCCCTATTATGTACAGATTATTACAGCTCCAGTGGAAGCAAGACCTGGATTTGGGTCTGGACCTCATCAGCAAGGCCATCGAGATTGACAACAAATGCGACTTTGCCTACGAAACGATGGGAACGATCGAAGTTCAAAGGTGAGGGGACCCAATTGACTCAATGGATTTTTTTTTTGTTTGTTTTCTGGTGTTATTCCAACCTTTTCCTGATGCGAAATAACCAGACGGGTAACCTCCTTTCAGGGGCAATCTGGACAAAGCGATCGAGATGTTCAACAAGGCCATCAATCTGGCCAAGTCGGAGATGGAGATGGCACACTTGTACTCGCTGTGCGACGCGGCGTACGCCCAGACGGAGGTCGCCAGGAAGTACGGCCTCAAGCCCCCGACGCTATAACTCCTGCGCCAATTTGAGGGTTGCTCTCGTTCTCCAACCGCAACTGTGTTCAACTTTGCATCGATTTGTTTAAGCAAGGCGTGAGGGGAGGGGAGGGGTTTGCTGGATTGTAATGTAAAAAAAATATCATAATGAAGGGCCCTCCTGGAAATATATACAGCATCATGTTTACGTTGTAGTTGAAAAGGGGTCTGTAATGCTTAGGGGGTCCCCCCCTCTACCCCACAATGTATCACGCACAGGGATGGTCTATACACTTGTTCTATTGTTATGATTTACAAGACAAAAAAAAAAAAAGCGGACTTGTGACGGGTCTTTGGATTCGACATACAATCCTGTGAAAGTTAGTTCAACTATCAAAGTGTTTTGTTCCATTTATGTACCAATATCGGTTCCGAGTTGGAGATTAAAACATAGAGCCAAATCTGTAATGTCTTGTGCTTGTAATGCTGGGGTTGATTCCTGGATTTAAGGCCCTCTACGTGGAGGATGATGCGGAAGCAAGGAGTCAAATTTTTTTCCATTTTGCTTGTTTTTTTTTTTGGGTTTTTTTTTTTTTTTTAAACATTGACTTGCCTGTTTTTTCTTTTTCTACATTTTGTGCAGCATGTTCAACTTATGATGTAAATGCAAACGCCTGTGCTGTTTGAATGAACACTAGGAGAATCTTGGCTATCAGGCCGACTCAAACGCCTCCTTTCTATAGCACTTGCATCACTAACACGCTCTCGGTTGTGCAATTCTTTTTACTTTTTTGGGGGGGACAAGAAAAATGGTTTCAATTTTCAACTGTTGGTAGTCCTCATTGCCTGAGCCATTTTTTTTCTTTTTCAGTGTATCTCCTTTTACAGATAGGCACAAATTTCTTATAGGAATTGATGTAAACATTTTGAAACGGCCACTTTGATTTTGACTGACAAATTCAACTGACATTCTTCATCCATGTATGGTGACCAAAGTGAAATAGAATTTGAATCCTAATAAAGTTATGATTCCTGGAAAGACTGTTGATGTGCTTTCCTTGACTGACCCTTTTTATTATTTTTTTTGTAGAATGTGCTTAGTAGGAGGAGTCATTTTTACATACTGTAGATCCATTTGCTCCCACGACTTGTGTTGCTTCAACATTGAAGATTCAATTCATATAAATGGTGATAAGTGCATAATCAGTGTAAAAAATTTACGATCACTTAGACTTTGGTACTGTGTGATCCTAAATCCAACCACATGAAAAGTGTCCATAAGCAAAGGAAATAATTTATTAGCTACAGTTTGATTTATTGACATCTGCATGCATAGGAATAAATACATAGACCTCAAAGGCTAACTATTATGGAAAGGGTTTTTTTTTTTTATTTACTTTTTAACCCCCTTTTTGTGATTTTTCTGGGATTTTTTTTTTCCTGAAAATTGGGAAAAAAAATGATAAAACAGAATAGCTCCACCCTTGAACGAGCGACAAGCTCTCGCGATACTTGTCGGGACTTGACGTGTCTCTTCAACACTTCCAATGTGCAAACAAAAGCACTTGTGCCAAAAAAATCAATGCTTATGAAAACAAAGATCAACCACTGGAAACGTACACCGGAAATTATATATAAAAAGGGGGAAATATTCCATGAATATAAATATATATTCCTGAAAATTGGGAAAAAAAATGATAAAACAGAATAGCTCCACCCTTGAACGAGCGACAAGCTCTCGCGATACTTGTCGGGACTTGACGTGTCTCTTCAACACAATAATGGCGGATGCCGAGGAGGAAGCGCTCCGGGGCAGCTGGTGAGAGACAATCTGCTTTTTGTCCTTATCGTGACACGACACCTCCCAGTCTCCTGCTGTTGGACGCGCTTTGTCCGCCGCGGGTTAACCAAATTCGATCGACGAAGAGTTTGTGTCGTTAATCGACTCCTCTGTCTGCTTTTGTCACATTTGCTTCCTGTGCTGTACTCAAATTATGTACATTTCGTATTTTTTAGCCTGCTAATTATCTTTGTTTTACTTCATCAGCGCGTTACGAGTCAACCCCCATAGTGACTTATTCATGTATTTTTGGAGAGCTTGCCTGTTTTTCAGACATATGTGTATGCTTGGTCAGCTGATCGAAATCGCAGGCTAGCTCGCTAAGAATGCTAACAATGAGCAAGTCCAGTTGATAGCTGGGATTTGTTCCACTCAAGCGCGACCAAACCGGAATGCAAACTTCAACAATAGCCTCTTTTTGTTTGTCAGAGTGACTTGCTTAAATAAACGGGATATCTGGCACAATAGTTCGTTGCTCTGTTTGACCGAGTTGCGCGTAGTCAGAAAAGACGAGATCAGCATCATCCCTTCGGATTGAATGGAATGTCATGTGTCAGGATAGGAAGCATCGTTTCGTATGATTTTTGCCACCTGTTGTAATCCTAACACACGCAAGAACTTATTTTCCAAAGTGATTATTGAAATTCTTCCGGGTCGCCACAGGGGTGACTCCAATGAGAGTTTGACAGTTTTCAACTTGCGGACTGACTGACAAGTTCATTCAAATGTATGTAAAATGAGAACAAAAAAAGTTATTGCATCATACCCTCTGGAACTGAGTCATATCAAATTGTGATCCCGGTCGGTCGAGCAAAATTGAATACTTCCACTTTGAAATCGAGCTGTTTTTGAATCGTTTGATAACCCACTTATGGAAAATGTTATTGCATCGTCTTTTGTGGTGAACCCTCCTATTAACACAAGGCCCCTATTTATTTGTGATTGGCACTTAAAAACCCCAAGCCCCTCCATCAGCATGCGGAAGTGCTACTTGTAGATAAAAAAAAAATGTCCACGATACATTTTAAAGATGACATTTTTAATACCTTCAGGGACCAGGATCTAGCTGAGGCTCTGGATTCGGGGGGTTCCGATATGGAGATGGACAAAGGCATCGCCCATGTTCAGGAGTCTTCAGCTCAACAGAGAGCAAAGATGTGGAAGGTAAATGTGACTGAAAATTAAAATTTACATTTTGGAAGTTGAATATCAACAGTGTGTTGGGTGTTACCAGATTGCACTCAATGTATCCGGTAAAGGAGACTCCCTCGCATCCTGGGATGGCGTCCTTGATTTACCAGAGCAGACCCTCATTCACTGTCGCAGTCAGCAGCTGATCGGTGAGGAAATCCACATCAGTGGCTTGAACAAAATTAGCCCGTTGGGGCTTCAAATCATGTCGTCAAATTCTCTAACCCAATATCTGGTTTGACAATGCGAGCCCGAGGGCAGCTCTAACTTTTTAAAATCATTTTTTTGTGGATTCCTACATTTAGAGCAGCTGCAAGTGTCCGAGGAGGAGCATAGCGACATGGTGTCCGACGTGGAGGCGGTGGTCACCTTCTACTGCAAGTCGCGCAACATCAGCTTCACCTCGGACCTGAGCTGGCTACACTTACTCAAGCCGCTGCTGGGGCTTCGGCTGACCCGCAGCGACCTCTACAACTGCTTCTACGCCATTATGAACAAGCACATACCCCGGTGGGTGTGCTGTCCAGCCACTCCAATCTACTATATTATGGGAGAGCAAACTAAATGCTGGAAAGGGCCTCAGTTTTTTATCAGTGCCAATGGGGGGCCCACATAGGACCCACCCATCCCCAAACCAGACCGATGAAAAATTTTAAATATGGACAAAATACATGCATATAATGCAGTAGATGTGCTCTAAATATAGGTCATTTTTGATCATAGATTTTTCTGTATAAAAGAGGGTTCAAAGCTATCCATCCATCTATCCAAGGATGGATGGATGAGGGCTCTCTTACATAAAAATCACCATTCAAGGATGGGACAAAATCCTGAACAAGAAAAGATTAGGTGCAAGAGCTAATTTTGTACTTTTTTCTTTTTTTTTTTTCTCACAAAAATCAACTTGCTCAAAGTTGTACGTACTGAGGTACGATGTTTCTCCTGTATCTCATTCTAAAGCCGCCCCAAAAAATATCACCCCTACTCACGTTGTCATACAGGGCAATATAAGGCCCAGTGTAAGCACCACTAACACGTCTGCCATTTAGTGGCGATGGATGATATTACTACTTAAAACTACTGCCGACCCATGCATCGTCACAGCTTCGCATCTGCGGATTCACATATTTGCAGATGTTTTTTTTTTATTTTAATTATATGAAACAGCTCTACTTAATGATTCAGTCAGAATGTATCGTGCATGCATAAATGTGAAATATCGCAATAATTGCATATTCAATTACAATATTGAGGGCAGGAAAAAAAATCGATTCGATTCTTTTAAAAATTGCCTAAGATTGAATCAGTGATTCTGAAAATAACGATTTCTTCTTCTTATTATTTTTAATGCAAATAGTCTGTGTTTTTTTTTCAGGGAGTGCGTGCCCAAGGGCCGCCCGTTCCACCTCTACAGACTGCTCTTGCAGTACCACGAGCCTGAACTCTGCTCCTTCTTGGATACCAAAAAGATCACGCCTGACTCGTACGCCATCAACTGGGTGTGTTGGAATTCCTCGAATGCCTCCTTGATCGTTTCTCGGGCACAGTCGGCATAATGTCCCCGAACGTCTCTGCTCTTCCTGCGCAGATGGGCAGCCTTTTCTCCAGCCACTGCCCGCCCGACGTCACCCAGGCTCTGTGGGACTGCTACCTCCAGCAGGCAGACCCATTCCTCATCTTTTTTCTTCTGCTCATCATCCTCGTCAATGCCAAGTAAGTGTCCCCCCCCCCCCCACACCCCGTGAGAGAAAATTGGAGTTTTCACTTGCTTTTGTTTTGTTGATTCAACCTGTAGAGAGACCATCCTTGACCGAGAAGGAGACAGCAAAGATGACATCATCAGTAAGTGTGATCCTCAGTCTTTGGGGACTTTTGATCTTTTTGTTAAATAAATAAATCATCATCATAACCACAATGTCTCTCACAGAAACGCTGGAAGAATCTCCTTCTCTACTTGAGGCCGAGGACATTGAGGATTTATTTTCCTTGGCTCAGTACTACCAGAGCAAGACCCCTCTGTCGCTCAGGAAGGTTGGACTTCCTCTTCTTGGCGATCATCGACCACATCTCCCTCTGACGTTGACCGCTGACGCCGTTTTCTCCCTTTCCAGATGAACCAAAACCTGTTTGGTAGCAGCCTCGTGGCTTTGAAAGAGGAGGACATCGACCTGAGTCAGGCGCTGTGCCTCCCCGTGTCCGTCCCGGAAATCCTGCAGGCCAACCAGCATCAGCAGGTGGCTGAGCTCCCAAATGGTTTTAAAATGCGAGAGAATAAATGCTGACGTGTCTCCCCCCCCCCACCTTCTCTCCTCAGGACGGGGTGCGCTTCTTTGTGGTGGACTGCCGGCCGGCTGAGCAGTACAACGCCGGTCATCTGTCTACTGCCTTCCATCTGGACTCAGACCTGGTGAGTTGGTGCTACCGCTAACCATACTGGTTCTCTGTCCGGTACTCGCCTTCTGCCACCCAGAGGCACCCCGGCGACTCTTGTTTCCAGACAGTTCTCAATTGCTCAATTCGCGTGTTCCGGCACAGATGCTCCAGAACCCGTCTGAGTTCGCCTTGTCGGTCAAGTCCCTCCTGGAGGCTCAGAAGCAATCCCTGGAGTCGGGCTCCGTTGCCAGCGGAGAGCACCTGTGCTTCATGGGCAGCGGCAGAGAGGAGGAGGACATGTACATGAACATGGTGCTGGCCCACTTCTTGCAGGTGAGAGACTTGTAAAGGCGCTGGGGGGGGTAAAACATACAGGCTCAATTTATGCTGACTAAGCTCTTTGTGTTGCAGAAAAACAAGGAGTACGTCAGCATCGCAAAAGGGGGCTTCATGGGTGAGTGCTCCACGTGGACACTGATAGTAAAAATTAGGCCTTCAATGTTTAATTGGCCTCCTCACATTGTAGTATTAAGACCTGGCGTAAGTGCAACTAAGCCAAGTCTGCCATCTAGTGGTGAATGTTGACAATACAACTTCAAACTACATTAGACCGCTGCATACTTGCGCAACCACACTCACGGATTCGTATGTTGTTGATGTATTTTTTTTTCAATTTTTTTTCCAATTTTTTTTCTTTTAATTTTTCCTGGATTCATTTCTCCTCATTTCCGCCATTTGTTATATTTATTTATTTATTTATTTTTCCGGGAAAAATGTTTTCAGTGTTTTGCAGTGTTTGGTAAATATTTTTTTCAGTTTGTCATAAAAAAACTTTTTTTTTTCTACAAAATATTCAATACCTGCAGCCTTATTTAAAGTACACTGTGATGCTGTTTTAGCCAAGCCAAAAATCTGAAGAGGGACTGTTTTTGAAAAATGTTATCAGTATGTTTCAAATGATTCCCCTACTTACTGGATTTGCACGCAGGCCTTCCAGTGACTGAAGTATTGTGTGTGTGTGTGTGTGTGTGTGTGTGTGTGTGTGTGTGTGTGTGTGTGTGTGTGTGTGTGTGTGATCTCAGCTCTACAGCAGCACCTGGTGGACATGAACGTGGAGGGCTTGGACTCGTCGTACATCCATTGGATCGTCAGCACGTCGGGATCTCACAGCAGCCTCAGCTCGGCAGACGTACATTGCGAGCTTTATTTTCTTTTCCTTTTTTGGGGGGGAGGGGGTAGGGATAGGAAACTGTAGTTGGAAGCGAACACGTCTCTTGTTTTCTTGTGTGCCCATCCAGGGGGAGTCTCTGAGTGACAGCAAAAGCGTCAAATCATTGGTCAACAAAATGACCTTTGCCCTCAAGTCCAAGTCAGTGAACGTAAAAGAGAAGATGATCAGCTTCATTGAGAACACGTCCGCCCCCGTCGACAGGTAAGAAATCCCATTTGATTGTGTGGGTGCGACTACGTTGGGAGTGGAAACGAATAGTTTTCTTTTATTCGCTTTTTCTGTCAACCGGAAGCAAATACTACATGCTCACATATGCATCACACTCATTTAAAAGCGGATTTGACTTTACATTTTAGCCAAGCATCCAACATTATTAACACACAAAAAAAATCTGTTGCACAACTTCAATCCATCATCAAAAATTTACTTGCGTCGCCAATTTAAAAAAAAAATGTTAACCAGTGTTTATTTTTTTCCATGTACGTTTTTTAAAAAACTTAGTCTCACTAAATCTTTTCTATTTTCTCATATATTTGTATATTTTTCCATCAAATGTGTTTGTGTTTTAACCCCAAGTTAATTTTTTATATTGGAGCATTTTCACCACTGAACCTGAACGCCATCATCTTTAGAATTATCTGTATAAATTTGGACTTCTGTCAGTGTTGCTCACCCCCCCATCGCCTAAAACAACTTATATTCACCATCCCTTTTTATCTTACTTCATGCTAGAATATCTTTTAATCTGCCATGGCCAGAGAAGGTGATTCCTGATAGGTAAGCGCTCGCTCGCTCGCTCTCTCCCGGCCGGCACTGAGCTCTTTTGTCAGCAGCATGCCATCAACTTGGCTGTGTGGCGCGCTCTGGAGAATCGGCGCCTGTGTCACATCAACGCATGTCACTCTCTGTCAGCATTCGCGGCTCTTGATTAACCCCCCCACCCCAAACACACACATGCCAGTCGTCATGCTTTTTCACTAACAACATGCAACATTCTGTTTGGTCACGTAGAAGAGAAAAGACATCCGCTTCACTTTTTGCTTGGCGGTAATAGTGTGTCTTTCCATTCCACCCTTTTTTTTTTCAGGCATCCGGGTCTCCCAAACTAGAAATCGGAGACAAAATTAATCAAATCGACCAAAACAAAAGTCGTGAGTGACGTTGACTCACCGCATGGCTTGAGTTGAACATCCTTGCCTTTTTTTTTTTTTAAATTACACGCCGGACCTCATTCACTTCATCTTTTGTCACGATCGAGAGCCACGTGTTCCACGCGATACATACGGTGTCTAAACCATCCATACGCATCCTCAGTTCAAGTGTGAGGTGCCTGTGCTACACTTGTCCCACTTCTGTGTTTCTCTCACAGTTAATGTGACAAGTTTAGATTCACTGCCCAATCTTTATCTGCTACTCAAAAACTGTGCTGATCTCCAAACCAAAGTGATGCAACACCGCCATCTACAGAGATCATTACAGTGGCTTATGTAACTAGCTGGGCGAGACCCTCCTCAATCACTGGCCGTTGAAAAACATCCTTGACGACTGTATACGTCGGTGGCAGTCAGGATCCCAGTTGCTGAATCTAAACGACCAAGGGCGTAAATGAGTTGACCTAAGAATGAGGAGTAAATTTCCTGAACAGAACTTTGAGGTAAATTAACTTGATTAAATGATACATCAGTGAATTAATTGTCATTCAGTAATTGCCAGTGCGTGTTGTTAATAGCGTCACGATACATGTTTTTGCACTTAAATAACATTCTCTTCTAAAATATAAAAATATTTCAATGTAAATGTTTGACCCAAGGAGATTCATTTCTCTCATTTCTGAACAGGGGTATAATAGGTTGGAATTATTTTTCTATTTCATTTTGCCTTTTTTTTTTTTTTTTTAATTCAGTTTTAATGAGGTTTTTAGCTTAGGTTCCTTAATTCTTATTAGCTTTAGTATTGGTTTTAGTTTTTTTTTGTTACTTTATATGGAGTATGTGGCAAGTGCAAAATATTAAAAAAGTATTACGTAATGAAATGAAGAAAATAATAACTTTCAAAGATTTGATTTGGATGAGCCTGCGCCATTTTCAGCTCTTCACATCAAGCTTTTCTTCTTCCTGCAGCTTGGAGGTCTTCATCTGCCATCACCATTTGCATAGAATAGATTAATTTGCCCTTTTCCACAGTAGTGTTTCTATTTCTTCTTCCCACTAAATCGTTTTCTCTCTACAGACACGTGAGCAGCAGCGACCGCGTGGGCAAACCTTACCGCGGGGTGAAGCCCGTTTTCAGTATCGGCGACGAAGAGGAGTACGACACAGGTGCATGCATCGTCATCGTCTTCTTTCGTCATCGGTTCCGAGGAGCGTTTTTATTGATGGGTCAACCTCCTCGCGTCCTTCAGATGAGATCGACAGCTCTTCCATGTCGGACGACGACCGGAAGGAGATTGTAAATGTTCAGACGTGGATCAACAAGCCCGACGTGAAACATCACATCCCCTGCAACGAAGTGAAGGAAACCGGTCACATGTTTCCCAGGTGAGCCAAGCAAGCAAAGATGTTTCGTTCTTTTCATTCCTTTATTAATTTATTTTTGTTCATCTTCAACATACATGCTCATTTTCTTTATTCAACATGGTGTACCTTCAAAGTTAAATCGTTTGTGGATTGCAGCCACTTGCTGGTGACAGCGACGCACATGTACTGCCTGCGTGAGATCGCCGCCAGGAAGGGCTTTGCTTACATCCAGTCCAGACAAGCGCTGAGCTCCGTGGTGAAGATCACGTCCAAGAAGAAGCACCCGGAGCTCATCACTTTCAAATTCGGCACCAACAACTCAACCGGAGTGGAGATCTCTGCGGTGGAACGGTGACTTTTTATTTATTTATTTTTTTAAATATACAATTGTTGTTTTAGTCTCCTATGTTTACAAGAGTCATTTTGATGAAGAAATCGCCTACGCACAAGCCAAAACTTTAACAGTCCATTCTGACAACGTTTGTGTTTCCTTCCTTTCAGATATCTCATCCCCAATGCCGGAGACGCCACCAAAGTGATCAAGCAGCAGATCATGAAAGTCCTCGACGCGCTGGAGACGTCGTAAAAGGATAGATGATGACGGCGCAAACGACAACGGCGGCGTATGGTGGCCGCCTGCCCCTGACAAAAACACTGTTTGAATCACCTCGGGTCCTGTCACGGTGCGGTGTTGGTCCTCGGATGCCACGCCGCCCCACTGCACAACTGCGGGAGCCGGGAGCCTGTCATGCTGCCCTCTTTACACTAACTTATATATTATATATATATTGGATATACTGTATTATTTGTTAATTCTAAAGCAGTGCTATTCCACTTTGGAAGCTTTCCTCTGGCCTTAAGGTAGCGTTACTATCCAAACAGTTGTTTAATGATTACGTGACATTCTGTGTTAAATGTTAAACAGTGTTTTCGCTGTCTTTTTTCCACACCAGTTAGTTAATTTGAGGCTGAAAAGTGTAGAATGTACAGAACGGCGATGTCACAGTCGACGAGCTGAGGTTTTTTTTTGTTTGTTTGTTTCCCCCCCCCCCCCCCCCTGCCGCCACCTAAC